GGCAAATCTCACACAACAGTTAACACTACTGTGTTGCTCTGACTGTGGGGTACTGCTCTAGTCAAAGTGCGTTTCATTTGCCACGTCTTTCCTACAAGGCAATCTTGCACCTTTCTTCTCGCTTTTATCCAAAACTCCCAAGTGCACGCACAGACCTATCACAAAAAACCCATCGCTAGGGATTTGTTCCGCAGCTCGGCCTCAAGACCTCTGCGTGAATGCTGAGACGGCGGCTTGCCACGCTGTCTGCAGACACGAATGAACGGAATCGATTTCACTCCAAACCCCTGGAGAATACATGATGGTTCATCTGTGCAATACCTAGGATTAAAGAAAAGTTAGCCTCTCCGTGTAGAGGAGAAAGTGGTCCAAGATGGATCAAATGAAAGAAGACAGATAAACACACACACTAAAAAAACACAGTGATCATGTACAAAATCCCTCCGGACGACACCTGTCTGTGCAGAAGTCTCCAAAACACCAGACAATGACGATTGCATCAGGATAAGCCCATCAAGGTCCAGCACAACCAAGGGTCCTTTATGAGCTGGTGAGATCGCGACCATCAACGGAACAGACAGGAACACGCGTGGACAGGGAGGAAGTGAGTCGTTTTCCTTCAAAGGGATCTGACGGTGTTAACAGGATAGGATGAAGGAGTGGTGGACAGAGTGGCACCGGCTGTGGACACAGGGCAGGGCCCGTGAGGTGGACGTACCCTGGGCCTTTCACCCCATACAGTCCCAGCGCAGAGAGTGAGCTCTTCTGGGACATCTCAGGAGTCCCCTGGGATGGGGCAACTCCCCGGTAACAATCGGCGCTCTAAAAAAACAAACTTCAACACTTCCACGCCCAGCGTGCGTCCCCAGGGCCATGTGGACACACTGTGTTCCTAGCCACCGCATTCACGGATGCTGCACATCTTGTCTACAAGTGGACCAAGGCTCTGATCGACAGCTGAGCGGTTACTGAGCCCCAGGGACAAAGGTCTGGCTCCGAAACACAGTGAACAACTGGGTCTGCAAAGCCCAAAATGTTTACGTTCCAAACATCTTATGTTCAAAGTTGTTTGTCAGGAAGAAAACGTTACAGAAAAGAAGTAGAAAATTGCTGTGTGATGAAAACAATGGTAAAAAATGAACCTTTCTTGCAACCCCTCATTCTTCCATCTGTTCTAGACTCCGTAGGGTTCATCACAGAAGCCAGAGGTTGGGGGTTAGCGTGACTCCAACCTCTCTACTTAACCACCCAGCTCAACAAGTCCATAAGGTACCGGAGGGCCAACCCTCCTTATCATGTTCCTAACGCTCAGGGTTACGGTTACGATTGAGACAAATGGCTGCAAGGAGAGACAAGGCGATAAGGGGTCGGGTTCGAACAATGACTGTGCCATTCGGGGGACAGGAGCACAGGAACACAGCTCAGCTTTAAGTTGGGAAGAATCGGACAAAAACGGACTCCAGGTCATATGTGTGTGTGTGTATGGGGTGGGGGAGTCACCAACAGCAGGCAGGAAAGGTAGCCTGAAGACCCTAACACGAAGAAACAGGCAGGTGTGAAGGTATGGCACAGCCAAGGGTGGACGAGGGCCGTGGAGAAAAGTGGGGAATCTCAGTGAGCACAGGACAGCAGCGGCCACCTTGAAATGGACAGAGGCTTCGGGGCCAGCCAGGGCCCCAGCGCCCAGCCACAGCACTGGTGCCCTCCAACGCACAAGGGGTCAGCAAGTCTCACCCGCACGCCCTTGGGCTCACTTCCACACACAATTTAGAAACGAAACATCACTGATTTCTTAAAACGCGGAACAGGCGTAGTTTAGAACGTTGAGAGGCATTTCATTGCCTCTCTTTGTGACATTTTTTTCTAACACCTGTTCTGGGGTCTTTTTTTTTTATTATTATTCTAAAATATGGCCTCTGGTAGATCTCTTTGTGTCTTACACATTGATGTAGATTTCAGTATATACATATATACAGTTACTTCTCTAGCTGAAAGAGTTTGTGTGGTGCACCGCTTCAGAGGTTAAAGGCTAGCACGTCCACTTTTTGTGGACCGGGATAAAGACGTGGCAGCTGACTTCTACCGAGATCACCATCCCAGACACTGGACACTGAGGCAGCTGTGGGCTTTCCGATACCGTCGATGGGAGGTGAAATAAACAAGAAGGTACCCAACAATACCACCACCAGCACCTGCCTTGCTGCACAGCCCTCCATTTCATCTACCTGCCTTCTCAGAGACGGCAAAAAAGAAGTATCTCTACAGAGACAGAGGAATCGTAATAAACACTCAAAGGGCAAACGAACTTCTGTTGTCCGAAGTTTAAACCAAACCTGTGTCACGCCGAGGACCCAGCTTTGCCGGCTGAAAGTAAAACAGACTTCAAGCACTTGTTGCAGAAGATCAAAGACAAGAGCCTTCAAGACGGATGATGGTTCAACAAGTGAAGAAAATGAAAAACCCTCACCCCTGGGAAAAGACAAAAGGGTGTGCACGAATGCAGCCCACTTGGATTCACAAACCCCTTCTTGGGGACTAGCAATCAAGAAGTCCAAAGATATATCGTGTTGGGAGAATGTGCTGGCAACGACCGATGGTGCCAAACTGCTAGGAGCAATGATGTCAGTTTGCAGACTAAGGTGCACCTGATTCAGGCGAGGGGTTCTCCCATCACTGGCTATGCATCTGAGAGCTGGACAGTGAGTAAGGGTGACAGAAGAAGAGTTGAAGCTTTTGAGTCGTGGTGTTGGAGAAGAGCTCTGAACAGCCCATGGAACTGACAACACACAGCCAGTTCTTGGAGAGCGATTCTTCGAGGCAAGGATGTTTGTGAAGCCTCATCTTAGGTGCTTTGGGCCTGTTGTTTTGAAAACACGTCATGCTTGGAATGGTGGAAGGTGGACTGTATCAATGGGTTCAAGGGCATCAGGGATGATGATGGATGGTACTTTGCAGGACAAGGTCCAGGGCTGGTATGCATTGGATTCAGATTGTTGGCACAACAATCAATAACAAGAACGTTATAATCTTAGCAGTGCATCTAGAAAAGGCTTTAGACAAAATCCAACAAATGATAAAGATACTCAAGCCAAAGTGGAATAGACAGGAACGTCCTCGAGACAGTGAAAAGTATCTATGGAAAACCAAGAGGATTATAGGAGAAGAGATACAGCTATGATCTTGGGTCCTAGAAATTATGTACAGCTATGTAAAGAAGTGGGTATCGACACGTGTCTATTTGCATAGTCATACGTCTATATACACATATATATCCCTAGCACTTGGCATTCGAAGGGTCCAGCAGCCCCAAGCTGCCCCGGGACCCACATCTTAATGCACCTCTGTGTCATTTTCTAATAAAAGAAAACAACAGGTGTGGAAGACATTAGTAGAGCTCAGAAAGTAAACGGCTCAAACGTCGCAGAGCGCTCATATAGAAATGGTTAACGTGGACGTGTCCAGAGAGAGAGGGTTCTCCTGAGCCAAAGGCCTAACGTGCCTGGGGCCATTCTCCACGAGGACCAAAGAACCTTGAACGGGTTGGCATTTAACGACACTTAACAACACTCCTGTCTCTCACCAGGACGGGCTGGTGCATTTGACCCGTCCACCTCAGAGCTGGCCGGCCCCCTCTCACACACCATTTCCAGGGTCCTCACCATTTCTGCCCACGACAACGGCCTCCATGTAGCCGCTCAGTGACCCTGCCCGTGCATTCTCACGGCTGACCAGCTTGACTTGAAGTCACCTGCCCGTCTTTCTCCTGTGGAGTGGCCGGAAAGATGCAAATGGTGTTATGTCCATCAATGCATGGAAATCCACTTTCTCTGTAAACTTTCATTCAAAAATAAAATAAAATAAATCACAATTAAAAAGAAAAGGTTAAGAGAGAATGGTGTTAGTCCTGTCCCAGGAGAGACACTCTGCCCCTAGAATTCCAGTCACTGTGACTGTCAAGTCCTGGAACTGGTAGTTGAAAGTCGGAAGGAAAACAGGAGAATTTGCATAGTCTCAACGTCCTGCCCAAGTAGGTAGGAGCTCCCAGGACGGTGCTGGAGCTCGGCGGGGACTCGTCCAGCAGCGTTGTATGAGATGTCCCGTGGCGTGGCCTGAGGCTAAGCAGTCCTCGAAGGGCGGCGGGCCGGTGAGGACCTTCAGCTGGGCTGGCTTCTTCTTCCCACGCAGTGGCCTGTCGTCCATCGTGTCCCGTCCTCGTAGGTCATATCCTATCATCGTCCGTCGTGTCCACGTCATTCGCTGAGCCGCCAGGGGTACACAGAGCTGTGTGTGAGCGTGGAAGCCCCGTCCCTGCTTGTGTCCCGTCACAAGTAGTGTCTCGTCGTTTGCCGAGTCCCCTCGTGTGTGGCCAGGGGCTGGAATGACAAGTGCCAGCTGTGTCTGAGCGCAGTGTCCCAGTGTCACTGGTCGTATCCCACCGTCCGTCGTGTCCTGTCGTTTGCTGTGTCCCACCACCCATCGTGTCCTGTCGTTTGCAGTGTCCCACTGTCGGTCCTGTCGTTTGCTGTGTCCCGTTGTCGGTCGTTTGCCATCGTTGGCTGCGTGGCCAGGGTCAGACGGAGCAGCAGGAAGGCCCCTTCCCGGGCGTGTGTGAGCTGTCCGAGCGTCTGTCGTGTCGTTTGCTGTGTCCCGTTGTCGGTCGTTTGCCATCGTTGGCTGCGTGGCCAGGGTCAGACGGAGCAGCAGGAAGGCCCCTTCCCGGGCGTGTGTGAGCTGTCCGAGCGTCTGTCGTGTCGTTTGCTGTGTCCCGTGGTCAGCTGCGTGGCCAGGGGCAGTGGAAGCAGCAGGAAGGCCCTTTCCCGGGGGTGCGTGAGCTGTCCCAGCGTCTGTCGTGTCCTGTGTCCCACTGTCGGCCGTGTCGTGTGCTGTGTCCCGTGGTCAGCTGCGTGGCCAGGGGCAGTGGGAGCAGCAGGAAGGCCCCTTGGCGGGCGAGAGTGAGCACGGCAGCCGCCGGCTGTGTCCCGTCCCCGGTGGTGGGGCGGTCAGAGGAGCAGGAAGGAGACGTCCCAGCCTTGTCCGAGCGCGGCGGCTGCGGCGGCGGCCTCGGTCTCGTGGGTGCGCACGTGTCGGATGAGGTGCGAGGCCTGGCTGAAGGTGCGGTCGCACTGCTTGCAGGCGTAGGGCTTGTCCCCGCTGTGGATGCGGCTGTGTGTGGTGAGCGAGGAGGCCTGGCTGAAGGCCTTGCCGCACTGCTGGCACTTGTAGGGGCGCTCTCCGGTGTGCGTGCGGATGTGCGTGGTGAGGGCGGACGAGTGGTTGAAGGCCTTGTCGCAGGCCGGGCACTTGTAGGGCTTCTCTCCGCTGTGCGTCTTGAGGTGGGTGCTGAGGTGCGAGGCCTGGCTGAAGGCCTTGGCGCAGTGCGGGCAGACGTAGGGGCGCACGCCGCTGTGCGTGCGGATGTGCGTGGTGAGGTAGGAGGCGCGGTTGAAGGCCTTGCGGCACTGCGGGCACTCGTAGGGGCGCTGGCCGCTGTGGATGATGACGTGGCGCGTGAGGGCCGAGGCCTGGCTGAAGGCCTTGCCGCAGCGCGGGCAGACGTAGGGACGCTCGCCGCTGTGCGTGCGCAGGTGCGTGGTGAGCGAGGAGGAGCAGCCGAAGGCCTTGCCGCACTGCGTGCAGGGGAAGGGGCGCTCGCCGCTGTGGATCTTGCGGTGGGCGGTGAGGTGGGAGGCGCGGCTGAAGGCCTTGCCGCACTGCGTGCAGGGGAAGGGGCGCAGGCCGCTGTGGGAGCGCGCGTGCGTGCTGAGGAAGGAGGCGCGGCTGAAGCCCTTGCCGCAGTCCGGGCAGGTGTGCGGCCGCTCGCCGGTGTGTCCGCGCACGTGCGTGGTGAGCGCCGACGAGCAGATGAAGGCCTTGCCGCACTCCTCGCAGGCGTAGGGCTTCTCGCCGCTGTGCGTGCGCAGGTGCGTGGTGAGCGACGAGGCCTGGCTGAAGGCCTTGCCGCACTCGGTGCAGGAGAAGGGGCGCTCGCCGCTGTGCGTGCGCATGTGCGTGGTGAGGTGCGAGGCCTGGCTGAAGGCCTTGCCGCAGTCGGGGCACACGTGGGGCCGCACGCCGCTGTGCGTGCGCCGGTGCTTGGTGAGGTGCGAGGCGCAGCGGAAGGCCTTGCCGCAGTCGGCGCACTCGTGGGGCCGGTAGCCGCTGTGCGAGCGCATGTGGTCGGTCAGGTGCCACGAGCAGATGAAGCGGCGGCCGCACTGCTTGCACTCGTACGGGTTGTCCTTGTACTGGAAGCGCTTGCCCGGCACGGGGGACTCCGGGGACGCAGGGGACACGGGAGCCGACGGGTCGTCACCGGCCGCGGCCGGACACTCGCGCCGATGCTCGCTCACCTGCGTCCACGCCGAGCAGGAAGAGGAGGAGGATCTGGCACAGAAGCCCTGGCCACAGTCGCTGCACATGTAGCACGTCTCCTCGGCCCCCGTGGCCGCCTCGGGGCTTCCAGGCAGGGCAGACGTGTACACGGCATCCTGCCCGCACTCCTGACACCGAGGGGTATTCTCTGTAGGCGCAGCGGTCAGCGGAGAGGCCGGCTGAGTGGGGCAAGTGCAGGCTATTCCACGTTCCCGACACCGACACGGCTGCAGAGGAGAAGAGTCCAGCATCGGGCCGAAGGCCCACCCGTACTGGCTGTCTTCGTACCCTTCAGAAACACTCTCCACTTTCACACTTCTGTGGGGCGAAAAAAAAAACCAGCATAAAAAAGGAGCTACAGGTGACTGCAAGCAAATGAGTTTCCCCGTCACCATCACACAACAGACTCAAAGTGCACTGAGCCCCCACCCCCACATCTGTCTCAATGTGACACGAGTTACATCACCAACGTGTAAATACAACTGCTTGTCACTTTGTAACACAGGATGGTTCTGATTCTGGGTTCAAACGCTTTAAATATAAGTCAGTCACCTTTTAACTAAAACGCCCTGTGTGAATTGCCTGCGTAAACAAAGACAGCTGGGTTTACATACGGTGCTGTGATGGCTGCGTGCCCGGATGTAGGAACGGACACACAGCTGACCCTCGGACACACAGCTGACCCTCGGACACACAATTGACCCTCGGACACACAGCTGACCCTCGAGCGGGTTTTTCAGAGGCAGGACACTGTATGGGAAGAGAATTCCCATCGCTCTTCCATGAGCTGGGAGATTGGAACTGGGTGTCTTTGGGATCTGGGTGTCCCAACGGTAGTTACTGGGTGTTCAGAAACTGAGGTCAGGCTGCCAGCCAGACCAGACACAGGTCTTTGGACACCGTACCTGCTGCTCCAGCGTGATTACAGTTCCTGGCAGCGGAGCCGGCGTTCAAGTGACTCTGTCAGTCCACAGGGGGGTGAAAGGGCCTCCTCTGGACTGACCCTCTGCTGTTTCAAGCAGCCACATCCACTCCTCACTTACCCACGTGTCCCACTTCCCAACATGCTGGGTTAAGAGTGGTACTGGCCAAGCGCCAGGGCCGAAATCGTGGGGACGGGAAGCAAGGTGACATCTCCCTAAGCAGGTACGGTGTGCGTTGGACATTCACCTTTAGCCTAGCATACTGGGCCAACAGGTAAAACCTGGAGAAGGTGCAGCCACACTGCTCCTTGGAGGCAAAGATGACGCAGCCTTGCCTCACCAACACAGGGTACATTGCTAGGACAGGCTATTTGTTGGAGAGGGCTATATCATGATGTACGAGAGGCTATCTGTTGGAGAGGGACCTCGGGCTTGGAAAGGTGGAGACGCTTCCTTGCTGCCACCGAACACGCAACGTCAGATCACAAGACATCTGGTCAGCTAGGCACAGAGTTCAATATGGATGTGTGAGCGGATGCACGTGCTGTCCCTCCCTAAGACTTTGTCCTGAGGCCCAGTGATCTAGAGAATAACAGACTCACCTGAGAAGATTTCCATGTGGATCTGCACTGCCGTAGGCGTGAGAGACCTCGCCTAACGTGACGTAAGTGCCGCCAAGCTGACTGTCATCATTCAGGTGCTGAGAGGCTGGGACGGTCATCGGATAAAACCAAACACAGAAAGAAACGATTAGGGCAGAAAGGGGCTGTTTGAGCAAAGACTTAAGACACTTTTTCTGGTTCGGCTACACCAAAGAGATTGAGATTGCTGACAGCTTCAGTTTGCTTGGCTCTACAGTCAACACTCTTGGTACCAGCAGCCAGGAAATTCCAAGAAAATTGCATGAGGAAAGTGCTGTCAGGGACCTCCCCAAAGTACTGAAGAGTAACGATTTCACTCTGGAGACTAAGGAGCACATGATACAGGCCACGGTCTTTGCAATCACTTGCTATGCATCAGAAAGCTGGACAATGACTAGGGAGGATAGAAGGAGAACTGATGCCTTTCGTCCTGGAGAAGATCAAACCAGGCTGCCCCTTGGCGTGAAGTATTCTGAAGCTCTGTCTGACATACTTTGGGCATGTTGCACGGAGGGACTGGTCCTTGGAGAGGGACGTCTTACTTGGGAGGGTGGAGGGACGGCGTAGTAGAGGAAGATTCCAGATGAGATGAACTGAATCAGCCAGTGGCCGGGGTAACAGGAGTAGGTGTGTCAGAGACAAGAAGATTGGCACTGGACAGAGCAGGGTTTAGGACTGCTGTTCATGGGATCTCTATGAGTCACAGGTGATTCGATGGCACTTAACAATAGTACCACCACTTCCATTTATCTAAAAATACTACCATGAAGACTTAGAAGTGTCCTGGATGAGTACTTAGGAAAATTGAACAGAGTGGTATCACAAACTGTACATGTGGAACTTTAGAAGAAAAACAGGGTTTTCTGTGAACACGGGGGTGAGAACATTGTGTTAGAAACTCAGCCTATGTTATCTAGCAAGTGTAGCCTCCATCAAAGAGCCGTTCCGGCTAATTTGAATGCAATTCCCTGCCTGGAGAACTGGGCCGTGCACACAGTTCTTCCCTTTGGGATCCTTCCTGAGACAGGAGCCCGGAAAGCCTACCTGCTTCTCTGGGGAAATGAAGGGCCAGGCCCGACCTGGTGCTCAAGTACATACACCAGGTCAAGGGTGTGTAGAGAAGGAGTATTTCCCTGACACCCAGTCAGTCACTCCTCTGCTCGCCAGGGTCTCTGCGGATGCACAGCTCTGAGTTTATCTGTGGAAACCTGTCATCAGCACAGTGCCCCGGGGACCCATCTCTATGTGGCTTCCAGTCACCCCCTCCAGCAGAGCTGCACGGCCTTCAATCCTAGCGGACGTCCACACTCCCGTTCAGAGAGCTGGCTGTTCACGGGGAAGTGAGGCCCACAGACCAAAGAACAGATTTGTTGGGACTGAAAAATGTTCTTCCATCGCCAGAGCAATGTCAGGGAGGAAGATGTGTTTGTTCAACAAAACCCCTATCTAAAGCAGGCTTACCTATGGAGTCCAGATTCTGGAAGGTCTCCATCATGACATCTCGGTAGAGTTTCTTCTGCGTCAGGTCCAGCAGGGCCCACTCTTCCTGGCTGAAGACCACGGCCACGTCTTCAAACACCACCGAGTCCTAAGCAACACCCGACAGGGAGTAGATCAGTGAGGTTCCCTCGGACCGCAGTGTGCACAAGGGCCTAGTGCTTCAGGGCGGCCACCACGGGGACCTGAGAGATGCGAAGTATCTGATGCAAGGAGAGGGACGTCCTACTTGCAAGACTCGGTGGACGGCTAAGGTCAATAGGTAGAGGCAGCCATAACACACAGTGCTATTTATCATCTCCCCTCTGCTCCAATGGATGGGGCACCAGAAAGACGTCAAAAGCAAAGACAAGCTTATGCATTTTCAAGAGAGAACAGGGATCATGTTAAAAGACATGAGTTCCATCTACCTGGTTCGGTGAGATTGAGGAGGAGATTCCTTTGATGTGAAGGAGACAAAACTCTGTCTCGCACGCTGTGGGTACGTTACCAGGAGTATCAAGAGAAAAGACATGTGTCTGATCAACCAGAGGGTTACCAAACAGAAGAAGCGGCTCCAGGAGATGGTCCAACAGTGTGGGGGCAACAGCGGGCTCCCACGAAGCCTAACTGTGCTCTTGTGAAGCCTATCCTTACAGCTGAAAGGCTGCTGTCTGAGCAGAGCAAGGGAACACGGCCTGACTTCAAGTCAAGAAAGGAGTGCAGAGTCAAGGCTACATCCTTTCTTCATAATGGTTCAATCTGCACACTGAGCGCATCATTAAAGACGCTGGGCTTGAGGAGGAAGAAGGCGGCTTCAGGTTGGGAGGGAAACTCATCAACAACCTGCGCCATGCAGATGACACAGCCCAGCTCGCTGAAGGTGAGGAGGACCTGAAGCGCTCGCTGCAGAAGGCCAAGGACTGCAGCCTTCAAGAGGGATTCAATATCAAGAAAAGGCCTTCCCACCTGAAGTCTAGCAAACGTCAGGATATCTGGAGAAAAGACTGAAATTGACAACCAAGTCCTCTTTCTCGGTCGGCTCCACAATCAATGCATTTATTATGAGCATCAAGAAATCACTGGGTCCAATCTGCTGTCAAGGACCTCTCCAAAGTGCTACAGCCCTTTTAGTTTAAACACGGAGGACTGCGGCCTTCAATAGCGACTGAAGCTCATTATCAAAACGACAGAGATTCTCACCACTGGGCTCTGTGGCAGCGTCGTGACAGATGGACAAAACGCTGAAATTGTCAGTTTTCTCACACGGCCCCACCCTCCACACCTTTACGATGAGCAGTCCAAAACGTCTCCAAGGGGCTACAGAACAACTATGTCAGTTTAAAGACCAAGGTGCACCTGACTCGGGCCGTGGTCTTTCAAGTAGTTGTGATGCACTAGAGAGCTGGATGCCAGAAGAGCCGTCCACGCCTCTGAGCTGTGGTGTTGGAGAAGAGGCCTGAACAGATGTGCCTGGTACAAAGTGCAAGCAGGTTGCTCCTTGGAGGCAAGGAGGGTGAGGCTTCATCTCAGGGACTTTGGGTCAATTCTCAGAAGGGGCCCATCCTTGCAAAGAGGCACCACACTTGGACCGGTGGAGGGTCAGCGTATGATGGAAAAGGTCTCACTCAAGATGGACTCACAGGGGGGCCAGTGCCACTGGGCTCGAGGTTTTCCGAGACGCTGATGATGGCACAGGATAGAGGCGCGTTCGCTTCTCTGTTGAGAGAAATGCTGTGAGCCAGTCACCCTGTCAGCCAACAGCAAGAGGGGCCTGTCCTAAAGAGACGCTCTAGTCTATCCCCATGGAGGCTCTGGCCTCTCGAAGGTGGACGAGGACAGAAGCAGAGAAGAACCTTTACGGTCACTGGGAGGAGCAGAGGGTCTCAAGTGGGAGGCTTAAATCATGGGCGTCTACCACACACATCCCTTCTGTCCAGGTCTACTCATGCTGTCTTCAGGCTCTGACACGGGAAGAGAAACGCCAGAGAAACACTGGAAAGCCTGCATTCTCAGGGAAGGCCTCTCCACGGAACGTCAGCTGCCACACCAACTTCAAGGGAGTCTGCGTGACAAAATCACCCGATTGAGGCGGAAACTTCAAGGAAGGCAGCCTCTCGGAACGTGTGCTTTCTCTATCATTGTTCTTGGCCTTTCTGTAATTTCTCTTCTATCGTCTCTTTGTGTTTTCTATGTGGGACACAGGGAAAAAGGGCTCTGTTCTTTATACAAAGTGTTCCTACTAAAACTTTGTTCGATGTTCCCAGTACACAAACATTACCTCCGGTTCTTTTAGCATTACTAAAACTTCTCAAGAACAATATAATTTTAAGGGATTCATGGATGCATTATAACAAAAAGAATTAAAGGTGGAAATCCTAGAGATGACCACTCCAGAGATTCCTAGATTTCTAGGGCTTATAAGAACTCCTTCAGAGGAAAAACCCAAACCCTTGCCCCCCACCATGAGAACACCAGGTGGAAGAATTGTTTATCTGTTAGTTAATGGTTGTGTGTGGCAGCCCCCTATTGGGAGTGGTCCTTACAGAATTCCAGAGCCTACAGATAAACCTCTTCCATCTACTGGAAAATATGATGAATTTAATGCAAAACACCCTGATGGTTTTTGGGATATGTTTTTCAAGAGGTTTGAAAGTGACCAGAGGGAAGATGTTACGAAAAGTATAAGTGGTAAAATAAATCATGAAACATGAGATTGGAATGATGAATTTAGGCGATATTATGACCCAAAACATCTTTTGTATAAACCAAAACCCCCTTATTGAAATAGTGATCACCCCTGGAATAATGGAAAGTGTAAAAGTGTTGTCTTTTGAATGGAAATAAATAATATTTTTGTAAATTCAGCTAAAAATGTAAAATGTATCAGCTTAAATTTAAAATGTAACTTTTTTTACTTTGTAACTTTGTAAACCAAGCAGGCTGAAGAACAGGTTTAAAAACAGATTTTAAAAAAGTTTAAGCGAAAAGCCATTGTCTACCAAGCTCTCTAATTACCAAGGAACCATGACCAAAAATAGCTGTGTGCAAGAAACTAATGTAAACTTTATTCTTACTTTTGTTGTTTTCTAGCGGTTGATGAAGCCTTTAATTGTAAAAATGGAATATAAATGTATCATGCTAAATGTAATAAGCAGGAAAAGGAAAAGCAAGGAAGAAAGAAGAAGGAGAATTAGAATGACTCAGAATTAAAATCATCAAGATCACTTGACTGTTTGTCTTGTGTTCTTTCATCGTCCCTTCGCCGAACTTCTACTGAACTTCTACCCACCTTTGCGTTTCCTCTTCGAGACCCTAGACCTCAGGCTTACAAGCCCCTCCCGACTGGAGCAGCCCGCGGCAGTGCATGTGGCCGGGAAGGAAAAGGGAGCCCCTCACGGCAAGCCGCACGCCCAAAGCCTCCTGCTCAGGGCCACGGGCTGAGCTCAACTGCCTCTGCTTCTCCCCTGAGCTCTGGCTTTCCACAACAAACCACTAGGCACGTTTGCTGGCACCAGGTGAGGGTCACGGTTGTCGGGTCAAGACTCACAATGACCCTGGGAACCACAGGCCGGAGCCCTGTTTCCCCATGGCCCGTCCTCATCAGTCCGGACACAACTGAGGCCACTGCTGCCTGTACCCTGCAGACTATGCAATGTTCTTGTGCTGTTGTGTCAGGTACAGATGGAAAGGACCCAGACACAAGAGCTGACCTTCCAGGGAGTTTTCAGACACAGTGAATCCCAACGGAAGAGACGGCCCATCACCCTCCCACGGAGCAGCTGCTGGATGCAAATGAAAATTCCAGCGGGAGACCAAACAAGCATGAAAACCAGACTAAGAGATGCAACAGATTGAAGCTGTCAGGGAAAAAGAACCCCAAGCAAGCAGGGATCTTTATCAAGCGAGGGGCACTCATGCATCAAGTATACAACAGGCTTCCAACACATGGCTGGTGAGAGGGGAGACAGAGAAAAATGAAAACCCATCATAACCTGGGCCAACATTATCGTCTCTGACGCACCTACCCCACGAGCCCAGACACTGAATCTATTTATCTCATCCAGGGTCTACCTGCCCTGCACGGTCCATCCACCCTCCCAAGCATGATGTACAACAGAAAAAAAAATATAAATAAACACAACAGCAACCCACTGCATTGAAAACATAATCACATTTGTGATTAAATTGTTAGTAAATAATCCAACACCCTTCCATAAACCACCCAAGAATATATTAGACGCCCCCCTCCAAGAATAAAGAATATATTAGGCCCCTCTTGCTAAACCCAGCGAGAAAGGACATCAAAGTTGTACATCCATTTAATCTCTACCAATAAGGGGAAGGTGGCTAATATGGTTAGGAGATTTAACCCATTAAGAGCTCAGGCATACTGATCTTTTAAGACATTTCCCCAAACCTAAGCAAGCTTAAACTTGTCCACCACCAGTTAGATCTAGCATCTCTCTGGGTGTTGGAGATTGGACCCTGGGAAGCTGGACAAGTCCCCCAGGATTCACACCAAACGATGATCGATTCTGTGTCTTCCACTGAAAACGACAAGTGAAAAAAATGTCACCATACACCCGTCACAATCAGAGCGTTCTCCAGCAAGAGAGAACCCTTCCATGTTAGAAGGTATATGTCAAGAGTACTCAGAAGAACAAAAACCTGCAAAGATTATATACCAGGGTCTGGCAGAAGGACCTAGCTTCTCCCAAGCAGTCTTCTCTCCACTTGAAAAGAAAAACCAAACTGACCAAGAAATGCAAAATCTTGAGCCTGGAGACCAGAGGGAAGCTGCAGCTAGACTCTGTGTCCCCAGCCACAGAGCTCTGCAAGAGAACATCAAATTCCTCCCCAGACCACATAAACATGCAGGACCCTTTACCCACCATGAATCTTGCTTTCCTTATTTTTTTTTCTCATGATTTTTTTTACTTTTTTAAATATGCTTATAATTATTTATAAACATTGTGTTTCAGTAGTGTACATAGTGGGTTGTGCCTTTTTTAAAAAATAATTTTAATGAACATTTACAGAGAATTTGACATTCACTGCTGCACTTCAATTAATTTTTTTTCTCTCTCCTTCCTTTTTAACCCCAGAACACAGCAGTGTGGCTGGAGAACTGCTCATAAATTGGTGGAGGGTCTCGGGGAGCACTGGGAAGAGGGACGGGACAGGTGGACGTGGAGGTTCATGGGTCCACCTCTATACATAAGGATGGTTTGTCATGGCACGCAGAGCTTCGAGGCTCGGGGTGGGCACGTCGAGGCCTCCCAGGGCCAGCTCGGACGGTGGGATTGGGAAGGGGGACCCATGACATGTAAATTCTGAAGAGCCAAAAGAGTGCAGAGAAAGAGTCAGGTCACACTGGTCACATGAGCACAGGCCCTGGCCTCTTGTGTCAGCATTTCGTCTTTGAGAGCACCATGTCCCTGCATACAGCCAGCCTCCCCACACTTCCTCTGCAGCCTCACCCTGCAATGTGTAAGAACTCAACCCAGATTCTCCCCACAGCTCACCATGTCTTTGCTCCACGTGCTAGTGGTCCAACCCTGGAGCTCAACACTGGAAAGATGGACGGACTGGAAGCTGGACAGTGGGCTGTCTGACAGCAGATGAGTCACAGCGTGTGGGCCGCACGGCGGAGAGAATCCTCCCTGCAGACGGGCGGGCGGGGTGGTCACTCTGGGTCCCCAGGTGCCTGGACTGGACCGGTTCTCTCAGCTCTGGACTGGAGACCTGCAACGGGACAAATATGGGAAAGAGGACACCGTGTTTAATAAGCAGGGAGTGAAGAGTGATGGGTGTGTGGCTGCTTCCCGGGACCGGAAACGAGATGGAAGTGGAGGCCATCGACTTGCTGTTGAACCAGAGACATCATGTACTCAGGCAGGAAACCTTGACCTTGATTTTCTATCACACCACCAATACTGAAGCTCTGAGTTCACCGACGTGACCGTGTCCCTCATCCAGCACCACCACGGACTCATTTGCTATCAACACGGGTGGATTTGCAAGCGCGTCTCTTTCACAGTTTTGTCAATACACACACACCATGGTTCATTCTGTTTTACTGTTGTTGTGAGGTGTCACTGAACATGGCCAAAGGGACCCTACAAACAAAAACCCTGAACCGTGCGCCATGAATCCTATGTCATTCGCACCATCTCTGCCACACCTGACCCCATGGCTACAGTCACCTTGTCAATCCACCTCATTGGGGGGGGTTCCCTCCTCTCTTTCTCTGACCCTTCACCTTTCCAAGCCACAGCCTCTACCTGCAACATTTCCCACGTATGAGATTCAAAAAGCTTCGTCAGCTGTGTCTCCCAGGAGCACTCTGGCTGCACCCTTTTAGTGTTCGTTCGGAGAGCTCTGGTGGCCTGGGGGTAAGAAGCTGTGCTGCAATCCCACAGGCTCAGGCCTCGAATCCACCAACGGCTCTGCAGGAGAAAGACAGGCAGTCTCTTCCTGTGCCAGTCCCGACTTGAGGGTACCAAAGACAAAAACAATAGTCGTTCAGTAAGGGAGCTCGGTGTCCGACTGCGGAGAAGCCGCACTGCAATTCCAAAGGCATGGGGTTTGAATCCTCGGGTGGGCCATCGGAGAAGGCTGAGTAATCAACTTCCTCCTGTGCAATTTCATGGCTTTGAAAGCCTCCGGGAGGATCAGCTAGCAGCGACCTGCAAGTCAACAATCTTTCAGGAAGC